TCTAACATTTCTTCAGGTGCATTTTGAAGGTGTACTTTTACACAGCCTTTCCTATCAGGTAAGGGCTCCCTCTGCTTTCCCCATCTGGGCAACACTTTGTTAAATCTTGTCTGTCAAGGTACCTAAGAAACCAGTTTCTCTGCTTGAACAGGTTTTTTTTGAAAAAGGAGTATTTGTTCAAAATGTCTTGGACAAATGCCCTGGTTCCTGCAAAAGTGGCATGAGTTTAGCAAGACAGAGGTGGTAATCTTTCTGCCAGCACCCTGCCAGAAAAGAGCTTTTTCCATTTGCCTGTTGGAATAAATATTTATTCATTTAACAGAGTACTTCGGAGTGGAGGGACCCTCCTTGTCTAGACATAATGAATAACCATAAAAATGAATTCAGAACTGTTTGAAAGCAAGGAACATCTGTGGCCGGCTGCAGCTCACAGACTCAGGGAAAAAGCATTCTTTTTTTGAGCTAGATGTAGCAAAAGTAAAATCTTGATTGTTTCCTCACATGTTATCCACAAGATATAAGTGGTCCGCCTGTGGCAGCATTTCTTTTTGGCGGGGAGGGGGGTGGATTTTAGAGTGCATTTTTTTGGTTTTGTAACACAGCATCTGTGTGCTTCTTTGTGATTGCATGTGCTTAGCAATGTTTCCACTTCACTAAAAGTCTATGCATTATTCACTCATTAATGTTTTATTTATTTATTACTCTCGAGGCACAGCATTAGGAGCTTTGCATTTGCAGTGTACYGAATGACAGCTAAGGCAACCTTACAACTATTTCTTGCCTGCCAATGGTTGCCCCACAGATAAAGCCCAGGCTGAACTCCCATGGATTTCCACTAGACTAATTCTGGTCTTCTTATTTCCATCACTTTTCCACTGGCACAGCTCCAGCCTTTTGAAAAGCTCCTCATTATTCACATTAGTGTAAAAAAATGAAGAACGTGTCTAAAGGACTGACAAATTCAGGCTCCAGGAGGCTTGGCCAGGAGAGCTAATCCCAACATCCAGGACCCTTCACAGGGAACACAGTGTCAGCAGCCTCCTCTTATTTAAATCAAAATGGCTTCAGTTTGAATTACACTACTGGAAGTGTCTTTGTTGTTTTTCTAAGGGAAAACAGGTATTCCTCAGATAACCAGATTCCAAATCAATTGTGGCTGCAGCATTAAAATTAGCATGTGAAAAATGAGCGTGTGAAAAATCAATCAGCAGCTTATCTAAGTTGGGAAGCACTGGTATACTGGCACTGGATCCTTGAGTTATGGTAGAACTGCTTGCAGAGAGACCCAAAGCTGCCTCCTACTCAAGACTTGTTCCACCAAARCACATTGCAGCGATGAGCTAACCCCTGGTTCAGGACACTGCTCACCCATCTCATAAGGTGTCTGGTGCCTGGGTCAGTGAAGGATCTCAGTCTGCTGCTAAGCAGCGACGGCTGGAACCCTGGGAGCTTTATTAATGGTTTTTCCTGTTCCTTTCATTAGTTATTTTTCCTGCTCCACCTGTAGGCCAGTTTGGCAATTGCATAGTTTCATTGTGGACCGATTTATTTTCCATAACCAAATTACTGACAGTAAAATATGCTCCTCAGACATGGACAGTGTTAATGCTTTCACAGAGAGAAGATCCTGTGTCACCATGAACAGGTAGTTTTCCTTGTTTTCAACATGTGTGTAACAAGAATGCAAAGTAGCATTTAATTGATGCCTTTTTAAACATATGTGCATGCTTACCCACCCCTTTTTTCCTTTGGGTTTATGATCAGTCAATAGTTYTGATGTTCTTTTGGCAAGCAAAGTCCAGAGTTTTACCTGGGAACTGGTCTCCATTTTCCCCTGTATCCCTATCTTTAATAATTACATATTATATATATCACAAAACACATATATGACAGCCCTACAAAAGACACTGATTTAGAGTTCACATTAACAGTGTAATACCGTTATTACTGTAACTCAAAAGCACATCAATATCTTAGTGTTTCTTTGTTCTATGTCAACATCTTTATTAGCAGCTGTGTCCACTTATTTTTTTTAATTTAAATTTTAAACCCTCTAATTTTAGCTAAAGACTAAAGGGACAGAGTCAAACTCCTCCTGCATATTGAGAATTGGGCTGCTGGGCAATTACCGAATAGGAGGGATGGGGAAACATGTTCATAGACAACAATTTGTGAAGGGTCCAGACCTGTTGGATRGGAAATAAACCTGGGAAAAAAGACCTAACTGGTATGTAATCCCATACGCCAGGTGGAATGGCTTTCAGTCTAACACCAATGCTGCAATGCTCTTTGTAGGCAGAACCTGGAGTTTGCAAGGGAGTCCTTCGAGCGTGTGTGCAAGGACAGACAGTCAAAGGTAAATTATGTAGCCACTAGTGGCTTCACTTCCAGAATTCTTGAKAAGGTGGAATACTCTTAGTTTTTCCTGATTTTTTATTCCTACTCTCTGTGAAGTCCAGTCTAACTGCAAAGCAAAGGATGTTTTTATTTATAGTCAGAAAGCCCCTGAAAGTCCTGGGGTTAARTGGTATGCAATCTGTGTGGGCATAGAACACAATTAATGCATTATAAGCAAGCTGTTGTAAAATTCATAGGTTGATTGTAATCACAACGTTGTTGTTCTGCAATAATTGAACTCTGCATTATCACAAAACTTTTTAAATTAAAGTGCTATTTGCCTGGGGGAGAATAAAGATCAGATCTGTAGCCTAGATGGTATTTGGACAGAATTCAGCCAAACTATCTGGATATCCAAGCAACATTTTAAGGTTTTACAGCAGGTATTTCACACTTCATTCTTGCAGCTAAGGTTTCTTAAATACCTAATTTGCTAGCCTGTAACWGTGGGTTTGAGGAATACTTTGACAATTTGTCATTCTGTGACTAGAAGTGCAACAGTCTGGCTTTTCTGAAGGATAACCGAATTTACTCAAGAACTGATAAGGCTGACACTAGTTTGTCTTCCTATTTTCACAGCTGGAAACATTGCCCGGATTGAATAGTGTAGGCATTTCCTGATGTAGTTCAGTCAGGCTTTTTTTTCTTCCAAAGCTATTTCATACATTCAAATTTATTCTGCTATAGCAATGCAAAATCATTACTGAAGTCCTAATCAAGTCAGTTAGGTTCATCCTGAGAGCCACAAGTAACACGGTGTGAAATACATCTGCAGAAAGTGTACCTTAACCTGTATACTGCAAAGTTCATATATGGTGACACCAGAAAACATGGTATGGCAGAATGGTATGACTTTCATTTCAGCTTARTATCTTTAGGAAAGACTATGAAGAACTTTCAGCCAATATTTCTTATCTCTGTTGCCAGGGGGAAGTGTTATTTAAAAGTTCCAGTGATTACTAAATTGGATAGGGAGTAGTTTGGGATTAGATACTGATCTCACATAATGTGGAATTTCACAATTGATATGGATTAAATACAAATAATAGGCTAGCTGGCATCCTAGTGGAAAGCAAACCACATGGAGGATTCACATGATCTGTTTTAACATTTGTTCTCAGGGATACACCACACTGGATATCAYAAAATGCCTCCCTCTCTTACATTTGCATCTCATCTAAGAGAATACAGAAATGGACACACACAGAGTGCTCTGGATTAAGCATCACCATTTTGATTGCATAGCTTTGTCAGCGTAGCTTGTCAATACGTAGAATATATGTGTGCTTCCAAAATTTATTTGGAGGAATACTGTTCTGCAAGCAAAGTATCCTTTTTTTTGCAGGATGATGTCCCCCAAAACAAGATTCCCTGCTACTGAAGATTTTCTAGAGAACAGATGATGTTTCTGCAAGGCAGCTTCTAATCTTTGCCCACACTCCCTTTTTTGGATTGTTGTCTTATCTTCTGCACAAAACTGCAGAAGCTAAGAACAGTATTTCTTCCCAGAAWGAGACTAGAAGACAAATCTCTACTAGAGAATGAGAGCAGTGTACCCTTCAAATGCAGGTAGATGAGAATGCACATTAACGAGGCTTAAAATATAAATTAATAATTYTGTTGGTTGTACTTAATAAATACAGAAAGTTTTTCCCATACTGTACCACAAAAAAAACCCAGTTGCCAAAGGACAGTCACAAAATCATACACGTCCTTAGTAACTGGGTTTTGAAGACAGTACTCTTGCATGAGCTGAAAAGCATTTCAATCCATAKGTAGCTTAACTTTTCCCTGTTGATGACACAGCTGAAGAGACTCATGTGTTTAGTTTAGTCCATCATCTGTTTAAAATAACCTATATTTGGAAATGTGTTTCCGATTTAGTCATGGAAATGTCGGAATATAAATAACCCAGCATTTTTTTGTTATTTTAAAGCTACCACATTTGATCTGCTCATCCTTTTTGGATGTCCCGAAAGCATAAATGCGAAGAACTTAACATTGTTGCAGTTCTGCTTCAGTTTTGGGGGTTTCTGGGTTGGTTTTGGTTGTGTGTGTGGTGGTTTAGGAATTTTTTTGTCTTATATGTGTTTGATTTTGTTGTGTTATGGATGGTAGGTTTTTCCCTCTGTGAATACTACAAGTTCTTATGGAACCATAGTTTATTGTATATATTTCCACTGGCCTTTCATACACATGAATCATTATACTTTGCAGCAGTGTATTTTTCACATAGAGTTAGATTAGACCCTTTGGATGATAACATATTCCTGCAATGCCGTAATGTAGAGATAGGCCAGGTGTCTATTTTGTGCAGTTATGTACCATAAAAATATGAATCCCAAATGGTTAAATAAAGGACTTTGCCTCTTACAACCATAGTAACTTTTACTCTCTCTTTTTTTACAGCCATTTAAACTTACTTAACTTCATTAAGTTGTTCCACGTTTACTTTCACTACTGTAACTTTTTGTTACAGGCATTAAAGATGATATAGGTAGAGAACTTGGTAAAAAAACCAATTAAGGTAAAACAATTTTTTTTTTTTTGCATAGTGGGTAGTGTAGTATCTTGTGAATAGAGAATAACAATATTCTGGCTATCATCACACCTGGTATGTATTCATTGCAGAGAACATATCTTTATTTTAATATAGCAGAGCAAAAAATCATCCCCATTTATTAATCTGATGTACACTAAATAACTTTGCATTTGTTACACAGATGATAAATATTTTGCAGATAAATTTATAAACACTTCCACATTTTATAGATTTATACTGTACACAGTCATCCTACACAAAGCATGCCCTTTCACAAATATACAGACAGCTTTCCTCAGAGGACTTAATCAAAACACTTGGTCAAACATTTTGGAAGCTGGCAATTTGACACAGAGGAGGATACTGCAAAGATGAGTTCACAATTGTACCAGCTGGACTTGAAATGAAAAATTCAGAACTCCAAAAGATACTTTATCAAGGCACACACATGCAAACACATATATACAATAGTGATGACAGTAACCTTTTTTTCCAGGCGCACACAGCAGTAAAGGAAAGAAAGAAAGAAACAGAGAGGTCAGGACCATTGCCAAGATCTTGATGCAGATTAGCAGATCTGAAGTCAAATTCCCATGTTCAAATGGCAATTCAACTTTTAAGTAGCTTGTTACCCGTATATACAATATGTACATGTTACCTTGCATTGAGAAATGGAGATTCTTAGAAATGGTTATGATTTTCTTGACAGCATATGACTACTAACATGGTGTGTTTGTAAACCAAACACTATTTGAAAAATTGCGTGCCCAATTGGCTCAGAGCAGTTGGAAATTTGAGTGGAAGTTTAGAAGTAGAAACTGGGAACAGAAAATAACCACAAAAAAACTAGGAAAGAATACATGTTTTTCTTCTGTTGTTTAGCATTAGATAATGCTAACAAGTTTTTAAGGAAATCAGTAACCTGACTGAATATACGAGTAAGATGCAGTGAAGGCCAAGAGCTCTACTTTCTGTCCCTCCTTAATACTTAATACCTTTGCACATATGTCATTACATTTCAATGGAAGCTGCACACTTAAAAAGCTATCTAATTGTGTATTCCTACATATATTTCAGGCCAACTATGAGATACAATTTAGTGGTCACCGTGCTGCGCAACTGAAAGTAATACAGCATTTTTTTTTAATTGGGATTTTTAATACAATACTCTATAGAAAATGGTTAAAATAAGCTGCCAGTTGCTTCAGTTGGCTTGCATCATTGTTACTAAAATCCTTTTCATGTTTGTGAAATATTACATTCATAGGAAACAGACAGGCTAAAATTATTCATTTTAAAAAGGGCTGAAAGGACACTTCGCTCACATTACACAGTCACATGCTTAATATTTTYGAAAGACAAAGCTGGGATCCTGATTTTAAAAAATTGCTTCACTGATTTAAGCAGGGATCAATTTACACACACAAAACTTCTTTCATGTAACACTTTGTAGGATCCTAAACCACTTGGAGAAAAATAAATGCAGGCACATACTAGCAGCTTGGTATATTTTTTTAATGTTCATAAATGAGCTAGTTTTCCTACAGTGCTAATTTSATGCCTGCTCTCAATTTTTGTTGCAAATGTCAATAAAATCTTTCATTTCATTGAAATGAAAATTCAATGAAGGCACTAATGAAATCAGATGCCGTATCAGGATGGATTGGTGGCAGGAAGAAACAGAAGTGCCAAAAGATTTGTCCAAAAAAGATGATGGGAGGTTGTGTTTTTTAAGTAGCTCTTCGAATTTTCTCCTTTTGCCTCCAAAGTATTGATTTTAATCTATGCTTACACATTTCCGTATAAAAGGTAGTATTATCTACTGCTACTATAGATCTGAATCACAATTTTTAAATTTAAACTGCCTGTTCRCAATTAGAAACTATATGCTATGGTCTCACTCAATGAGTGTGAAAAAAACCACTATCGTGTAAGCCTTGCTACCCTTTCTTAGCCTCCTCCCAAAGAGTAGGTATGCACTGGTATTTAGTATATCAACTCATAGAAGACATGGGGATAAAAAAGAATAGCAAGCTGCTTGGGTTGGTTGGTTTGTTTATTTTAATCTTATTATAGAGCCGGCTTTCCTATAGCAAATATACATTCCTTCCTGTGGAAGGAATACGCCCTTCTGCTTTCTTACTTCTGTAGCATGAGTGCATGTCCCCTACCAGAGGAAGCATACTGCAAAGAGTGAACATCCTGCAAAGCACAAAGAAGAAATGTAGCAGATGCCAGAGCTTTTGAAAGAGCTCTTTCTACCGTCTCTGTGTATATGTTGATATTTTCACCCTAAATTCACTTGATTTATAGTATCCATGACTTTATATGGCACTAACTACTATAGAAGATCTTCATGGGTGTTAATCATTAATTGAAAAACACCCTGGCAATGGCTCTGTTTCAAGCTGGTCAAAAATTGCTGATAAGAACWGTAGCAAATAATTCTTTAACCACATCACAACAGTAGCCATATATGCAGAAACAATGAAAAACATACAAYACAGAAAATCACAAACATTTTCTCATACATTACACAGAAGTTAGCATGTTGATATCCCCATGGACCATTTTGAAGGCCTTTTGGTTGAATAAGACAAAATTCATAGCTTTTAGGAGTTTATGAATCTGCGAGTGCTGTGTCTCCTAGTCACTGGAAAAACAGTACCTTTGCATGATGTGCTGTTTTGCTGTTTGGCACAGTGTGATGGGACAGGAGGGTCGGTTGGGCAGGCAGGGGAAGGCAACAGCTAAGTCAAAGCTCATTTTTCAGACCATTTTAGTAATCTCCTTCCAATGACTGAAAGCTAATGGCCAGCTGAGATGACTCTTGGCATCCCAGCAATTTTGCACATGAATAAGTAAAGGCTTCTGCACGAGGAATGGAGCACGATGAATCAGAGCATAATGCACAATGAAGAAAGTAACACTTTCTTCAGTAACACGAGGTAAGAACATGGTTTTGTAAGTTTAACATCCACCTGTGTTATAGAGAGGTGTGTACATATATGCATACTCACCCACATGTCTGCATATGTGCTCACTTCTAACTGTGTAATATTTCTTTACGATGTACAATTATATAGCTTCAGGCTAGGATTTGAAGAAAACATCTGAAAAAATAAAAGTAATCCAAGCCTRTATCTTGAATTATTACTCTTCATCATTTGCATTTAATTTAATTCCCTTTCATTATTTTTACCAACCCTCTTCTTTTGAAGAATCATCTTTTAAATGGGTAAGACAAAATTATGTAAGACTCACAAATTATTTTTATTACATAACCAGTGGGGGATGGGCATACATATGCTCATACAAGCCAGACATTAAAAGGCTAGAAGGCAGGTCTTRTAGGTAAGAATACATGCAGAATTAATTGTACAAGAGAAACACTAGCTGACAACCCTAGCTCTTGACGACAAATGGAACAGGAAAAACACATAGGAGGCTGGACTCTTGCAGAGTACTGTGCTTGCAACAAGCTATGAATGCTGTTCTTTAGCATTAAGCAGTTTCAGCTTGCTTGGTCATGTCTACTGGTGAAAACTGAATGGCAAGTGGTAGATGTTCAGAATTAGAAAGTACAAAGCTGAGCAAAAAACCAGATCCTTAGGATCCAAGCAAAATGAGCTTAGGTGACTAGCTGTGGAGAGAGTGCTGAAAGTGCCTGCCAGCTCTTTTTCTCTCTCACTCTCTCTCTCACTTGTGGACTGATGTGTCTGGCTACAACTCAGATACATTGATGGCCAGAGTAGGGGCAAAGTCTCTATAAATCATCCTGGTTATATGGCATTAAAATGTATATTCATRAATACCCTGGGTGGAAAGAACAATACTTTTGTGTCAGGTCATCCTCACCCAAATACTTCTGTTGTTAAGCAATCTTCAATCTTTGGTTATCGGAGTGTGTACTGGTCTGGAGYGAGCAATATGTTCTAGACCTTTGTCAAAGAGAATAGATTGTTTACCCTAGAAAGCACTGTACTTTTCCCTAAGTGTTTTGGTCCTATTAACTATAACTCGTGTGTATGTTATGGGAGGAGGCTGCTGAAAATTACTGTTCTGTTCATTTTGAGTTGCGCAGGATGTAATCAAAGGCCCAGAACTCCACCTTACAGGCCAGCATTGTTGTAGATAATTCAACAAAATATTTAATAAGAGAAGCAAATCAATCAGACCCAATTTGTCTTTTTTCAGCTTTTGACATGCTAAGACACTGTGTTCAAAACTAGGTCTTGAAAGTGGATGAAGTTCTATAAAAATCTTATACATCTGGAGTGGGATTAAATGTTGAAGGATTCTTCCTCTGCAGGAAGAAATAGGCAATTTATCTCCGCAACCAAAATAAAAATTCAGCTAGTGATAGTGACTCCAAATACATTTTGCAGCACTTGTTGAAATTATTAGAAGAAGACAAATGAGGGCAGTATCAGCATGTAGACTAGTTGTGTCCTCATTGTGTGAGGTTAAATGAAGGTAAGGAAGATCTGCAAGTAGCATTAYAAATTCCTGCTTTCCATTTAATTCAGGTTTTGAACTATGCTCCAGGTTTCCTGGCTAACATGTTTCTTCTCATTTCATAACATTGTCTGATCCCTGTCTTACCTTTAAAGTACAAGTAAAAATCTGTATTTTCATGTTGTGTTTCCTTGATTAGCAGCATTTGTAAGTACTAATGCAGGCAAATACCTAATATTTTACAATAAGTTTAATGAAGAAGAAGGCAGGAAATACAGAATAGCAGTCTCTCAGATGKTTCTTCTGGAATATGATTACTGAACATATGTTTTCTTTCAAAACACCAGAGGAAGTGGAGTATTTCTTTTTTCACTTCTTGTGTCTTTGACCCCCTGAGTGCAAAGATTCATTTTTTAACATTGTGATTGAAATTTCAATTGCATTTCCAGGTTATTAAACAGGAAACATGGCTTGTAGGTTGTATTAGTGTGATATCTTGTTTAGGTAAAGARGTGTAACTGGATGTAAACATCTTTCTCTGACTAATGAAGATAAATTTAAAACTCAGAATGGGGAAGAGAGCTAAAGCCTAGCACACAGAGGCTGTCCATATGAGGGACTGAGAACTATATTACTTTGCTAAGAGTTGGTATCAGCAGTTATGACTGAAGAGCAGTTACGCAGAGATAAGGCCCCACATTGGTAGAAAAAAGAAAAAATACAGAAAATAATTTCCCCCAAATGCAGCTGAGCTAGATTCACAGACAAGAAAATTCCCTGATACCTGTACTCACATCAGGAGGTCAACAGGGACCATTCTGAGAGGWGACCTCTCCTTTTTTTAGGTCAGCCTTCTGGATATGTAGGAAAATGTGGAGTCTGGCTTTCTCAAACAGTACGATTAACAGAACCACTTCTGAGGTTGCTTTCTTAATTGTTAAAAAAAGTTATAGCCAAATTGCAAAAAATATGTAACAAAACTTCTTACTGAATGTTGGTAGAAAATCAGAAGCAGCTGAGAGAGTCTTGGAGTTTTGACTTCCTTAAAGTTTTGTCCTGTAGTAAGAAAAGTAATTTGTGATGGAATAATGGATTGGCAGGAAGAGAAAGCAAGCAGAGCTTAAGCTGGCAATCTTAACTTTGATCCATATTCCCTAGATGATAAAGGAGGAGTAGACTACTGGAGCCATCAGGAAGGAGGGCTGACTCTTTTTCACCAGTGCCCAACTTTTGTAGTATACAACTCTGTAAGGGAACTGGTAAAAATCAAGCACAGAGTAAAAAGGCTTCCCAGTATGTCATTCATTATCAGGTGTTCAGAACTCCACCATGAACATTCCTAGTTCCCTTGCTAGGAGCCTGTACTCCACAACCAATGCAATGGCTGCCAAATGTTGTACTGCATGCTTCCAAGCAACAGGGTGCTAGCATGAATATAGCCAATCTGACTAAAATGTACTAAAATTATAAATATTATAGTAGGCTAAGTCAAGCTCGACTATTTGACAATCTATAAAGAGTAAAACTAATTMAAATAAAATTTCCTTGCAAAAAACCTAAAACATGTGGTGTCTTTTGTGGAAAGTTTCCAAATTTTGAAATGGTTGACCATCATGATTAACAGCATTCTAAATGCTGTGAGTCTTCTGTGTTTTCAGGGGCCATTGTACTTTTTGTAATTGCTACTGTTGGGATGAGCTTTTCAGCTGCCCAAGAAATTCCTAGATGTAATATCCTACTTCAGTTTAGACTGACAGGAATTTCTAGCTAGCAGTCARTCAATTCTGTGACCAAAATAGACAAATAAGTAGTTTTGGTTTCATATGTTTAATAGCTGTAATACACAAATGCTATCAAATTTTCTTCCCTCTGGTGTATTAGGAATCTAACCAGGCCACTAAGTGATTCTTTGTACAACATATAAATGAATAGACATGTAAAGGAAGTGCAGTTCCTACCGTCCAATATTTATTACCTGTGATTGCTTTGGAGGTTRCAAAAAATGACAGTTTTGCTAAAGACCAAATTACTGTTGCTTATAATGTGAGTAACATTTGTGTCCAGATCTCCACAGATTCCTGTTCAGTCTGTGGATTTCACCTATCTCTCCAAGTTATTTATAGCATGAAATTGCATTCACTTTTTTTCTRTATGAGATAAATCTTTACTGAGCTCAAGCAAAAACTATTGATTATTCAAACAACTTTGATGCTGGCTTGCAMACTAGCTCAAATCTGTTGAATCAACCAGCTTACCACCCAGGGAAATTCTAACTTTAGGTTTTATTTCATATGTTGGGATTATTCTTGTTTGTTTTTCATTTCTTTCATTTACTTATTTTCCCAGTTCCTACCTATTATTGTTTTTTCTTTTTTCTATCTTAGAACATTTTAATTCTGGACCCAGTCCCTGTAGTCCCATTTTTAAAAATCTCTACTAGATCTGTTTTGCTATATTCCATTTCATCCAGACTTAATCACATACRTATGACATAGTCAGGATTTACAATAACACCAATATTGAAATCAACATAATTTTATGTAATGAAATTYCAGAGTGTTAAACATGAATCATAGCTGAATCTTATTTTTCTGTGACCCATTTCCTTCAAGCTGGTCAGATGGTATGAAATGCTGTATCTGAATGTTTTTGGGAATTACATGCAGAGATGGACAGAAYATACTGCTGCAAGAGGACAGTGCATAGCGACACAAAGCAATATTTTACCATTGTTGTTGATGTTTACTCTAAATATGTACAGAGGCTTCAGATTTCAAAATAACTTGTGCAGTACGTACAAGGAGTTCAACATGTGCTACTAATGAATGGCACAGAGAAATAGGGCTCAAATACAATTCTCATTGTAGAAAACAGCCTTGAAATAATTTTAAGGTTATGACTATTAGACCAAAGTCACAGATGCAAAACGAAGGCCARAATTTTGTTCTTAACCTACAACTTGGTGAAAAATAATTCTTCCTCATTTATTARCATAGTTTAGAAATTTAAAAGGCATGTCTAAGCCAGATTCAAACATTAAATATTTAATCTCAAATATCTTGTCCTTAAATATTCCAAAATAAACACCCTTCCTAAACTTTTTTCCCTTACTATAGCATATTTAAATTATCAACATTAAAATAATGCCCCCTAGTTTTCCATACTCATGTTTTTTTTAATTCTGTCACTTTTCTCATTTCAYGGCAGAAAACAACATCTTGGGCTAACATTTTTTGTGCTACAATGCGTAACAGAGGCATTTGTTAGTAACTGAAAATGTCACTTCTAGAATCAGTCAGTTAAACAGTAAACTATAAACATATTGAATGATCTTCTTATGTAGACTTGTACTGATTCTCTTAGTATGACAAAGATGATGACTGATAAAGAATGCAGTGCCAGATATTACTACCCAAATCTAAGTTCACATCTAAGAGCAAGAGAAAAATCAATGAAAAAAACTCTAGCTTACAATACGATGACCTTATCTGGAAGCTTGGTTCCTTGGCAATGATTCATCTACCTAATAAATGGTATCAGACATGATTAGAAAAAAAAAAACTGAATCATTTTTCCATATGATTCACAGCAAATTTGTTTTTTTGGCGCTTGAAACTGCAGATAGTTCATCAGCTGATCCAAGTTGATGGATCAGTCTTATCTCCACTGAAAGCAAGGCCAGTTTTTGTCATCAGAAGATCTTACCTTTTTTGATAATTTCATAAATMTATCTGTATTATATCTGTAATGCTAGTATTTTAAAGAAATCCTGTAACCTCTTGCATGGCATTACAACTGATGGACTACTTAACAGTAATCAGAACAGTCCAGAACATAGAAGGAATTTATTTATTACCATCTGCTGTCCATCTATGCACTTGGTCTAATAAAAAYGTTACCATTCTCTCCAGCCTTGCCATGGCTTATTTCTTAATGGCCTTTCAAAGAGACATTTGAAAATATTAAGTGGTCAGACATCCCTGGAACTATCAAAAATTAGCCGAGAAAATGCTTCTATTAAGTAGTATAAACTATGAAAAAAATCAAGATGTTTTACACATTGAATAAACCTCTSAAAGTATCTTACTTATCATACAGTACAAGGGCCTGATTCTTCTTTTATTCATACTTACAAGAGCAAAACTATTTGCATTCACTCACTCCTGGAATTAGTCAAATTCACTGTTTTAAATGGAAAAAATATTCCAGATGCCACAAGTGAGAATAAAACAAAACTTTTCTGGAGGATCAGCAGCAAACAGTGAAAAAGTTAATTTTGTTATTCTCTCTGGTGCATACCCATATAGACTTAAATTCCCTGCAGTAGCTGTTGCCTTCTCCTTAGTCAGTATGGGTGTAGTTGGTTATCTTTACTTTTAAATTGCTTAAAAATGTTTCCCAAGAAAGATTCATTGCCATGCGTTTTTGCCAGCTAAGCACAGCTGCAGAAGGTCTGTACTGTTCTCAGTACTGATACAATCTGTAGAGTTTCCTGATAAATGCTGCATGCATTGATAATTAATACATTCTGAATTCCCTGCACCAATACTGCTATGTAATTGACTTACATATCTGTACTGTTACAAAAGCTCACAATGCCACAGCCAAATTTAGTATGTGTTTTTGAAATAATATGACTGCTTGCATTTTAAATATCTAATAATCAGTATAGTTTTTTACTTTCCTGGATGTGTCATCCAAACTGTTTTAAGAGGTAGCTTTGCAGTTTGAAGTGAAATGGGTTTGAATAGCAAGGTATGCAAGCAAACAAAAGTGAAATTTAAAACTTTCATACAGAAGTTTTTAAATCTCTGCTAGTCCAAAGTATTTGTTGAGTTTGATTTCTGACATTTGAGCACTCTACTGTGTGTTGAGAATCTGAAGCCTTTGCACCATCAGTCAGGAGAGTTGACATTTGTACAAAGAAGGAAATAAATAGTAAATGTTTTTTTCCAGTTACATCAACACYTGTGTTCTTGTATCAGGAAGCCGAAGTCCTACCAGACCTCCACATACTAGAACAGTAGAAGCAAGGAGAATAGGGATTGCTTTGGTGATACCAACAAGGGAACCAAATATAAGGTTTCCGAGTACAGCTGCAGCTTTGCATAGTGCATTCAAAAAGCCAAAGCCTGTTGCCCTAGAAGAGAAAACAGAAGAAAATTAAAACACAGGGGAAAGAGTAAAGCCTTTGAGACACATCCTTAGTGGGAATAAATCAATACAGCCCCAATATCTTAAACAAAATTTATGCCAGTAAGCATACTGAGAATATAGTCCGTGCTCTTATTTACACYGAGAAATTAAAGCTCAGCTGCTACAGTATTTCATTGAGGCAATTCATTCTTCTGCCTCAGGGATCAAAAATGTGAAATGTTTGATTGAACAGGTGAGTTTTCACCTCTAGTATTGAACATGAAACCTGCAAATGGAAATTCAGCAGGACTTAAAGGGCTGTATTAGAAGAGTGGACATGCCAAGTAGCTCTCTCAAGAGAATGGCTTTGTCATCTGTGAAAGAAGTAATCAGAATTAAAGGATGATCATCTTAGAGTTCTGAATAAAAAAGTATTTCCTGCAGGTGGTATGCATGTTGAACCAGTGCTTTTTCAAAAGGCTAGTGAGACCTTTAATGTTAATGAATGYTCATGTTTTAGGGATAGAAGATAGGGTATACAAAAACCTCTCAGGGGAATGAGTTACCTGAGAAACTTTGGAGAAAAGGAAAAGGATATAGATTGCCAAAAGAAAGTATGACACAGGTAATTCAGGTGGAGTCTTGCATTGCAGGGATGGAATTTTAGTAGTCTGAAGTAAAGTATTTTAATTGTTTGGTAATCCTGCATAGAAGTATTATGCAAACTGCCATAATCTAAATTGTGTTTTGACATGAATGTGTATGCTTCAGAGATGCAGGAATAAACTTGCCCTACCAAAAGTTTCCTAACAAAGGTATCTTTACAATGGTAGAATCTGTAACACTTCCCAACTCTTAGAAATGAAGGAGAGAACACCTATGTAGAGCTCAAATTTGCTGTGATAAAATAAAAAAAAATATCAAGAAGATAGTTGTTCTGATTTTCAGAATAAAATCTTTCTTGTACTGCAATTAAAAGCCATAGTCTAAACAACAGGAATTAAGAGAAATGTTAGTGATCCAAGTGACTTAAAAGAGCCCTAGTTATTCTACTGAAGTACGTGTGAGGGAAAGGAAGAAAATTATGCTCAGATGTAGACTGAATTCTTACAAAGTTTGAAAAACTTCTACTGGAGTTACTGARAAGGAGCCCAGAGAATCAACTTGAAGCAAGAAGACTTGACCCCAGCAGAGAGCAAGGATATAGTCTCTCAATGCTGTTCACAGAACAGATTTTTGACTCTGAAAACATCAAACAATGATATGAAGGGATGAGAGATCTTCTCTCTGAAGCAATTTATAGATACAGCAACAGCCCAGAGCATCAGAGTTCATCTCTTCTGCTCTGGGGCAAATCTGTATCTCAGTAGTGTARATCAATTAGGCTTTTTGGTATCCTGCTTCCAAGCTGTATGCCTGAAGAGAGGTAAAAACTTCAGTCTTGTACAGCTCACCAGGATATAGGGGCTTTCCACACTGTCCCTGCCCTGTCTGGGATACTGTACTTTAGAATAATACCAGTCCTGGTATATTTTAGGACCCTTCATCAATAGAATGATGAAGGTAGGTCTAGATYCTTCTTGTATATTTCTAATTCACTGGTTTGCTCTAAGAAGCCTAACTCTAGTTAATCCACGAAGTCACCTCCAGAATCTGAACAAGATTCAAAATATGCCATTTTGAAATAATAGTGCTTTTACTGTCAAATTTGTAAATCAGTTAAAAGAATGTCTGCAGAGCAAAACTAGGACATGAAACAGACTAATTAATACACCTTCAAATAGGGTTTTCCCATTATGTTAAATACTAATTTTTCCACTGTTATAGACCAAAGTCAGTTCTCTTACTTAAAATGTTATGAAAGTAAAATCAGATGAGGTGACAGTGTTGTAGTGTCAGCTTTAGGTATTAGGTGCCTTTTCTGAATCTGGGACAAAACACAAATTACTATTTCTCACTGGATGATTATAATCATAAAGTATTTATTTATTATTAGTTTGGCAATATGTCTCTTGCCATCCCTAGCAGTGTTTCAATCTCTTTGAAATATCCAATATTTAGCAAAGAAATTACTATTTTATTTGAAGTCAGCACAATTCGCAAGTCAGCAAATTTGTGTAAAACATGGCATCCATCCAGACATTGCATGACACTAAATATCCACAATATCTAAAGAAAAAGAGACAGGTCATTTCTCTGGCAGAGTAAAAACTACCCTAAATTCTGTGGACAAACACAAGCAAAAAAGACTCAGATATGTCTTTTAAATTTTCAAAGTCCTTATTTATTTGTTTTATCTATATTTGATTGACTGTGCAGTACTTTTACAAAATACCTMGAGCTAAGGAAACCTAAACATGCACAATTGGAGATAACAATTTTGAAAATGACGTGTTCTGCCCTCTGGCAGCCCAGATCCCTGAGGGCTGCCAGAGAGCAAACTGCTGAGAGCAGCAGATGAGGAAACGTTAGGAAATGTTGCCTGTGAAGATTTTGGACAGAGGAGCATTTGCAGCAGCTCCTTGGAAAAACCTTCCTCAGAGAAAAAATGAGCAAGTTAAAAAATGTCCATTTTAAGTATGGCCTTTGGAGGAATGGGTCTGAAGRAGGAGCATGAGATACACTAGAGGAAGCAGAGACGACCCATTCTACTGGGGTGAACTTCCAAAGCCTATGAGAAAACAAGCAAATCTCTAGTATGAAAACATTTGTGTCACATGGACTGAAAAGGCCCAAAATATCTGGAGGAAGATGACCCGGGATGGGGGGTAGCTACAGAGAGGCAAGAAGCTCCAGACTAATGCATCTTGTAGGGTTTGCCGAATTCACAGGATGGTAAGGTTGAAAGGAGCCGCAGTGAGTCAGCTAGTCCAACTTGCCAACTCGAACAGCATCATCTTAGTCCAGCAGGTCTGCCCCCAGTCTGTACTGGTTTTCCTTCCCAGGTGCAGGACCCTGCATTTGCCTTTGCGGAATTTCAGATGGTTCTTCTCTGCCCATCCCTTCTGAAGGGCTGCACAAAGCATGCAGGTAGGAGGGACGTTCATGAAGAGAAAAGGACTTTGTTAAAATAGACTGTATTGCAACCAGGTAGAAAGAGGTTAAAGACAACACATGGAAAACCACGTTTGTGTGAYGGGATCACAATAAATTGCAGCTATTCTGAAGAAGTCATGGGAAGAAGGAAAGGAAAACAGTCAGAATGGTTCTTATTTCAGCATCATTTACGCACAGAAAGTATTTCTAAAGTTATGGTGGTGACTTGTGATCAGTGTCCGCATGTGTAAATAAAATTTTCCTAGTTGAAAATGCTGAAATCAAACTTAACTCCAAATAATAGTAACAGAAAAAAACCTCACGGAAGTTAGACACTTAGTCATCAACAGCCTTAGTAAATTCAGAGATACCAGATCTCCCTAAAGAATACATAGATCCAGCTAAAACAAATTGGGATAGATACAGGCAGGAAATCTTTGGAAAAGCAATTGCACAAAACATATGGGGATGTTTTTCTTATGTTTAATGTTGTTTTATACTACCTTATAAAGGTGAGCTGTTTCACAGATATTGGTTGCTTATATCAACTAGTTATGACATGGTCTGAACATAATTTTATGAGCAATTTGAACCATTTATTTTCATGTTCTGGTCTCTACACTTGCCAATGTGCTTTAGATCTATTATAGGTTGTACACCCAACATTGCTATTTTGAGGTTTAAAGTGATTTCGTAATACATGCAAAACCTCTTCTGTCTGAAAAAAATTAAGGCAATTTTTTTTCACTGAAAACCCAGTTCTGTTTGTAAAATGTATTTACAGAATTTTGCTGATTGTAAGGAGTCATTGTTAATCTAATCCCATTAGTGTTATCAAATTATAAACAAATAAAATTAAGAGAAAATAAGCTCATTTTATTGCCCTTAGCTGTCCTGATGATAAAAAATGAATAACCCAGAAGTAGTTCAATCTTTTAATCTTTAAGCAGATTTCGGGCATGTCCTTTTGCCTAAAATAAACACATATTTGGCGTGAACAGTAAGATTTTTACAGGCTTAWGTAAATTGCTGTTACAAACTGTACCTGAAAAGCATTGCCACTGTTTAATCTTATGCCTTCATACCTTTCAATTCTAACACTGTGTTTGAATGTGTTTGTACTTACAGTCAGAACAAGGTGTTCAAACCATTATTGAGCTSTAGGGGCAGCAAAATCAGACTGCTTATTTTTTTTAAACCTCTTTCTGAGAAGAGTGTTTGTGATTCAAAGTCTTTAAAATCTGTATTAATTCAGGCATTTTTAATTAATTCTCCTGAATACAGGGGAGTAAAAATACCCAGGAAGTAAATATACACACATATATGACTGTAGTCTTTTGCAGCATTAGTACAGTCTCTACTGCAGTGTCTCAGGAAAGTGCAAGAGTGTCTACAAATGATCAAAATTATGCAATATATCATCTCAGCATCATAAGCAAATAAGGTGAAAAATTCCAAGGGAATAGGGCCACTTCTATATACTCCAATTTTCTTTATGTTGATCAGTTACTGGGCAAACATTTGCACCAAAATGTCATTTTGAGTTCATGAGTAATCCTCATTATTGGTCAAGAGAGACCAGTACTAAGTAGCAAGAATCCTTTGTCCAGCTAGAGAGTTCACTTAAGTCCTTCAGGCGGATCAGTAAGAAAAACGTTGGTGAATCAACTTGTCTTTAAAAAAACAAAACAAAGCAGATACAGATTTTCATATTGATAGGAGAAAAATACAGAAGCCTTTTATAAAAATGACAGGATAAAGAGAAATCGGATGTTCCTGAAAAGGAATTTCCCTCAATGTATTTTACTTCTGCTGCTGAGAAGCTGTGACAAAGAAAAATACTTAGCTTCCTTTCATCCAAGGCCCCCATAAAAATGGCAAGAGTCCAAACAGTTAAAAATAGAGGGATTATCCAAGCCTTTAGATTAAAAGAGCTTGTTTCCTGATTGCCACATATGTTCCTTCTTAGACCAGGTGCTTACATTCCTACATAAAATACTTCAGATCCACTTTTCCAGTACTGATGGAGTATCCAAAAACTTCATTGTCCTGCAACAGAGTGCTACTAAATGTGTAGCACATTTATCTTTCCTGCCAGAGCTAGTTACAAAAACCAGCAASTTACAAAAAACTTTGAATATCACTTTTGTTAGAACTAATAATATGTAAAGTAGTAAAACAGAATTTCTAAATGTTATATGGACAATTTTCTAATGCCCAGATATTTAATATGCTCTTAAATAATTAATACAAAAATACATATCATAGCGTGATCAATTATAGTCTTAGTGTGAAAGTAAAAATGTGGAATTTGGCTTCCTTCCTTGGACTACTGCCCAAGGCATAGTTTTGGCATGTTATGCCTTAAAAAACTTTAACATGAAATTTCAGCAAAATGCAGTGGAACCATATCCACAGGATGGCAGTAGAAAATAGCTGTCAGAAAATGTACTGTAAGTCAATTACTGGTATTATGAGACAAAAGAATAGAAAGCTTCTCTTCTGACAGTCATACCAATACAAACTTGGACATAATTGTGTGAATAGTATTTATTGCTCTGGGCATAGATACTCAGGGTTCAAGATGAAGTGAAAAAAATTAAATGGCATGAACTGAAGACAGGAGACTTTTTTTACAATTAGGGCCAAACCCTTATGAACTTATTTCAGAGGCATTAAAAAATGGCAAAACAGGATGATGTAATTTTGCAGCTCACCTTGAATTCAAAGTTTCCCTGGACAAGATTCAAACCCTSATGTCTGGCAGCCACAGTGAAATGATGAATTGTTGATTATCTGATGCAATCTGATTTATTTGCTATGTGGGAGATGATATATTTCAATTCCTCATTCTGTTTAGGTTTTGAATATTTGTTGTATCACCTCCCCAGTGAAAATCTTGGCTCATAGAGCTGGTGCTTCCCAAGTTCACAAGAAGTCACTTACCACTGATGTGGAAGTAAAATTTGCATTCTAAAGTAATAAAAATCTCCTAATGTTCGTTTTTCAGAGAACTTCAACTCTCTTCCATCCGTATTTATATTACAGGCAAAGCTAGGAAACTGCAGTGTTATTGCAGGCCCCTTGGGCACACACATTACAACGCAAGCAGTAATTACCTCATCACATAATATTCTTTTCCACATCACTCTGCCAATGCAGAGAACAAAGAGGGCTTGAGGGTAAAATATAAATGTAGTGAAGGAAACTTAGTTTCCCTCATCTGCTGCTGAAATTGTAAGGTGCATTGTAAATAAAGTTGGGGACTGCAACATGAGAAAAGAGAGAAAATGGTTAAGGCAGTTGAGTACTGTCACAAGAAAGGATAAAACCCCTACTCCTGTCACAGAATTTGCATATGATGCAAGCACATCACRTAAAGCTAACTAAATGGTCTTTAAATATGCTTTTATGTTTTCTAGGTGCTCAGCTCAGCATCTTCAGGTTTATGTTGCTGGAGTGCTAGGTACCTATAGCTGAAGTAAAAGTTACACTTTTAGCCCATTCCTTCTTCTAGAAAGCTCAGTGACTGGAATTGTTGGTGTCACACACTCCAGTCTACTGATTTCCTCTCCTCATGGACAGCAGAGCCCATTAAGAAGATAAAGTAAAAGGCAAAAGATGAGACAAAATACAAATTCTTTACATTCTGGAGCTATTTTAATTTACTTGCTTATTGGAAATCCACTAGTTTATATCTAGCTATCATGAGTGTCTTTTTAAGATTTGTGTATTGAAAAGTTTAAAAAATAGTATTATATTATCGAAATATTATTCATTATTCTGTATGTGTCAGCTGAATGACACCAGCTATGACCATATGAATGACACCAGAAACCCAACTATGACCATCATTAATAATGTCATTTGCCATTTTAAAACTGCTTCATCATCTACCTGAGAACCATTTGAAACATCTAACATCCTCTAACATCTCTCACTATGGAAGTTGAACAAACCAACTGAGGWTTTATGAAGAACATGAAAGCAAAAGCTAACCTAAAATGAAACAATTATTTGAAAGTACTCATCAAGAAAATGGGACAAACTGTGTAGTTGCCTTGATTCCAGGCATCAGTTAACTAAAATGTGAATATGTAGATGAGTGTGAATTTATACATAATTCAAATCTATCAAGATTCTGAAGCAACCTTAACTGATGAAGCTGACAAAGAAGAAACTGAAATGTGTGCCCTGTATCACRTAGACTGCACATTGCCAAATTGTTCACCACACTCCTACCCGGCAAAAAGCCAGTATGATCCCTAAATACCTAGAGTACGATTTATGAAACACCTTTTGTATTATACTGCAAAACACCAGCAAAGCCCCAGCAGCTCAGCAACTGGCTGGTCTCCAGGAGGAGGAAAAGGAGTGGCTACCCAGTCCAGGTTCTTGGACATGGAAGCATAAACCGGCCTCCTTCCAGCTCCTTTTCTTTGAGTCCAACCTCCAGCTACCCTTTGCTGCACATTTATGGTCATTTCATGATAGGGAGTAAGAAAATAGCATTAAACACTGACAGAGTGAGCAAAGATTTTGTGCTTAGATTGCCCTTGCAGGAGAAACTGGAATCCATGACTAGATTTATTCTGCATGCAGTTTTGYAGCAAAAGGGAACATCATCCTAAGTATGAAGGATTTAATATGTAAAAACAGATCAGGAAGCTTCTTGTTCCATATATGCTGAGAGAGGCAGCCCTACAGTTACATGCAGAAGCTGGAAATTCCCAGCAAACTGTGGCAAGCTGTGCCTGGCTATGGAGATTAGAGGAGTCTGAGAAGGTAATACAGGACCATCAGAAGTGGACAATGCTGGTTGTTAAACTGCAGCTAGTCCGGGTAAAAAAAACATCAGAGAAAAAAAATCTGGTAAGCAAGTTATTTGAGTCCCTGAAGGTATTAATTTTCAAAAAGTTCTACAAAACATGAAGTAACTTTCCTCCAGTCTAAAAAAAAAAATCTGGAATTGGTTGCTTACTTATAACCAAGCTAGCAAAAACTAGCAGTCATGGTTCCATCACTATCAGAACTTTTGGGAAAAAATCTCAACTATAGCATATGTCACCAATGTTTTTCCAAGCACAGGTAGATTCACCTATTCTCCCTTTTGTACTGATAATACAAACAGACAAAACCAGAAGTTTTTTCTCTGATTTGTTGTAAAAAGACCCCTACAACTCAGCGTCAAGTAAGTTTCTGTTTCCAAACTGTCATTTCTGCATGCAAAATATTTTTAAGTAGAGAAAAGATAAGTAAGAAATTGCTACAATCCCAAAGGTAGCAAAAACTATTAAAAACTGGCTACACCTATAGATGCCTTAACATCTGTATATACATATATACATATATATATATATATATATATATACACACACACACACACACACACACACACACATATATATATATATATATTTATCATTCCTAGAAATTATTTTTTCCCATTAACATCAATGACTTTTCCAATTATTTTTCTGGACTTCATTTCAGTCATATATGTCTGCATTCAGGAATACCCAAAAGATAATTTCTACAGGATATTTATTAGAATTATATAATAACATTTGGATGATGGAATAATTCTTGCCAGAAGAGCAATTCCTTCACAAGGTATAATAAAAATGCTAGTCCTTAATATTAAAGCTTAGTGTTTCAGATTCATAAATAGCATGGTGTCACTATTCTATATAATTACAGCTGTGGATATCAATTTCTTGTCTGAAAAAGCATATTATTTTAAAATGGCAATGAAAAGAGAACAGAGAAGCCAGTCTACATTTTTCTGTATTTCTTCATGGACGACACTAAAGACAGTGGCACCCCTTTCCAAAAAATTACCTCTGCTGCCAAGGCATTTATAAACTGGAAATATTTTTCATTGCATTTGAAACATCCAGTGAATGACATAATAATTATCACTCTAAAAGGAGAAAGGGYACAGTGTCCCTTGCTAGGAATCTGGATTTTTTTTTAGGGAGTTGAGAGAAATATCCCAATCTATTCAAGATAATGCAGCTTTTACATTTTTGCACTCCACATACAACAGAATAGGACTCAACAGTTCTTATTTCAGTCCATTAAGTGACATAAGGTCAGGGTTAAAAAGTATCCTGTATATGAAAAAATACCAACCTATGTCATCTAGAGGCAATGCAGGACTTAAAATTGTCCTGAGACTTCCTGCAAGAGCCCTGAAGAGCCAAGAGCAGTGCCTAAGATAATTTTTACCCACTTAATGTACACTCCTAGTGGCCCTGCATACAAATTCATAGCAGACTGATTAGCAGCTCAGGGTGGTTCAGACAGTGATTTTTATCATAATTCCCAGCGTTTCTCAGTCAACAGACAAACACAGCTATATTGCTGGYTTGGACCAACTACTGCCCTCATTACCCACTGAACCAGGGGAAACCCAAAGATACTCAATTTTCTTCAGAAACACCATTCATTAGCTGTATTTTAAATGAGAGTAGTAGCTAGACATTGTGTTTCATATGAAGCTGCATTTGTGGTATTTTCCTGATTAGGTGGTGTTTCACACAAAGTATATACCAAATAGTTCATTGTTTCCCTTTGCTTTTCATAAAACAAATTATTAATTTCATCCTCTCAAAATATCGCTACTGTAAGGCTCACACGTATTAATTTCTATTTGTTGTTTCTGCTGGTACATTGTATCAGTGAAATTAGGGGAGGTGTATCTGCACATACCTTCTGTCTGTAGGATACAGCTCCACAGTAATGACATCAAGAGAGTTCCATGCTGAGATGGTGAGGCCATTGTAGAGGCACAGCATTCCTATCATCATGGATTCACTGGTCCCAAACCACAGGAAAAAACAGCTGATGCCAGAAAGAACCATGGAACCACCTAGGTATGAGGCAGGTAAACATGTAGTGGAGCTGTATTTAAAGAACAATCTTTGTTTTGTCTARTATTTCTGTACACACAGTATAGCTAAATAAGTGACTCAAATCCCAAATATCTGAGCTAAAAACCAAAGAGACTTCCTCTACTGATAAGGCGGGTCAGAAAGTCAAATGCTGAAGGAAGGACCTTGTAGAAAAAAAGATAACTCCTCAAATATCAGAATATATAACAAAGTGTCAAGCTGGAAGACTCTTAGAATTCCCAATGCAAGATGCCTGAGGAAAACTACCCTCATTATTTGTTCATCATTTTCTGCAATTACATGAAATCAGTTCATATATTATGAGAAAAACATTGTATTTATTTTATTGTATTTATATAGACATATTTTCCTAGAAAATTAAGAYAATGAACTACCACATAGTTATTTAACTAAACTGAAAACAGATTTCTCACAGTAGACAATCCACAGGAGACATCTTTCAAATGTGTTCCTCTGCAGAACAGAAAAAAAGAACTGCTACTTTCCAGGAGCTGACTAGCTAAGGGTCACTCGRATGCCCCTTGCTTTCCTTTCAACTGGAGCAAAGACAAACCAATGGTCATCAGTCTTCAAAATTTCATTCCAAATGCCTAGGTAATGGTCTTATCTGTGTGGAAGAGCAAGAGCTATGTGGAAGAGCAAGAACTATGTGGCATAGCAGAAGTGGCTACAAACCCCTTTTCCCCTACTGTTTCTAAACTGGGGGCTTTAAAAAACACTACTTATGATACCATATAAATTTTGTATCTGTAGAGGAATGTTTTCAATTTCTCTGAACCAAATTCCTTGAAAAGAGAGCATGTTATTTTTGATTTTGTTCCCTGTACCAAAGTGAAGCCCCTACCTAGCATTGTTAATCGTCCTATTCTATCCATCAGGAGAGCAGACACAATATTCCCAGGTAACACTGCCAAAGTTCCCAGGAAATTAACGAAGTAGATCCAGTAGGCACTGTAGTCATCATCAAAAGAAATCTGGCATCCTGTCCTGATGTGAAAAAATGTGCAATTTATCAATTCACTGTCAACAAATTTATACTGCTCGAGATCTGTGGAAAGAAGAAAAAGAAACATTTCAGCTAACAGCTGATTAACCATGTGCAACTTCTGATTTAAAACATTTCGAGTTCAAGCAACTTTAATGACAACTTGGAGCTTTCTCAGCTTTACAAAAAGGGGACTAGTTACTGCTGTTAATTTTGGTAGCTTTTTATCCTACTAGAAAAAGCTCTTGAAAAGGACCGACTAAAGCCTGGAATTAGGAAGTTACATTACTGTGTTTCACCCTGTTTAGACTGTATTTGGTTAAGGCATTTCCACACAAGCTTGTCTTGCATAAAAAACACTGGGTRTCTGCAAGTTTCTATGACTCAGTCTTTCTCAGTATCAAGCCCCCTATTTACTGGTGAAACTAAATCATGCTCAATTTGGTTTGACTTTCTTTAAGCAAAATACTCCTGTTGAATTCAGTTTAAACTGATTTTTGTTTCTCAGAAGGCCTCATGGTCTTCAGTTTGTCCATGGATGAATTACTGTATGAGTACATTCTTCTGCCAATACCATTTCAGAGGACTACCCCTATATTTCGCTTTTTTCCCATTCCTCCTTATAAACCTGAATCAAGAATACTTTCTTGACACATAAAGGAATCTGGTCATTGCTTGCTCTGAAATCTAGGTCTATTACTATTATGACTATTGAAGTTACAAGAAAGTGGCAAGAAGTATCCCATTTTTCCAACAAGCTTAGTTGGCCATGTTCTAYTTTCAGTTATATTTTATTAAACGGGGAAAAAAGAGTCATCTGTTTAAATATATGAAAATACAGATTCATATTTTTGTCTCAATACTTAGGAGATTTGGAATGATTATARATTAGGTAGTTTGAATCTAAACTTAGATTCTCCTGCCACAGCAAGCACAGCAAACAAAGTATTTCACCAGTCCCTTTTGAACTAAATAAAAATACAGTAGTAAAAGCTACCAGTACGACTGTAAATGTGTTTTCTTCTCTCCAGACCAAATTTCTTTAGAGATATTCAAATCAAAGACAAAAATTAAATCATTTATTATGTGAATAAAATAAATCTTTTATTATATGAGTCAATATTAGGCCTGCAGTATCTCTTGTGCAGTGGGATCCTTTCACTTCTCTATTGTATAAGGCAGGCTGCTTTTTATATATTATTGTTCCCTACCAGAGGACTTTTTGTGCATCTTATTAGAAATCAAGAAATTATACATGTAAGATGAGAACATGACCAATGGTCATTTGAGGCTTTTTCTCATACCTGTGTTATAGAAGGTGGTATTCACAAAAGTGCAGTTCCTGAAGTATGTGTTCAGTGAAGTAATGTCTTCAAACACACAGTTCTTAAAGAGTGAATCTTCAAAGGTTACTGATTTAAACTTCATCATAACAAACCTGCCCAAYACAAACAATTCTTGTCAGTCTACCTGCATAGTTTAGAAATAGCAACAGATCAAGCTGACACAGCTATTTAGATCTAAAAAATCTCAAACCCAGTAATAATGATTCCTTTGATGCATTTTGCAGATGTGATTAATGACTAACWGATTCTAGAATACTATTGTTCAGAAAAAAAAAATTAGTAAGACTAATAGCTCCACATAATTATTGGCCCTAACTGGTAACATAATTTATTTGGTAATATTTCAGTTGTTGCTTGTCTTTAATCATCAACCAAAACCAATGTCATGACATTAATGGAACCGCCTTGTAAAATCACAGTTGCTAGTAATTTGACATTACACCTGGAAACAGGGAGATCATGCTTCAGCAATTCAGTTCCCAGGAATAAAAAATCACTTGCTAATACCAGCAAGCTGAACAGAAAGGTTTTTTTTTAAAGAATCTTGATTTGCTCAGATGAACATACTGGTTACTGTGTTAGGTTCAAATGTGAAACACACTAGTSCAAGTGTTTTCTCAAAATGATTACAATATGAATAAAAAATTACATTGCCAGTTACACAGCTAGACATCTAACAGTAAAAATGTCTTTGTTACTCCTGTGTCTATGGACACAGCTGCAATTATAATTACTATGTAAATAAAACTGGCATAAACAATTTGCTGGTAACTTTTTGTATTTCTGAACATCCTTCCWCCTATTGACTCTCATTTAACACGTAGGTGTCTTGTCAAAATATTAATTGAAAAAGTCAGTGACAAAGTATATGTCAGTGGCAAAAGTCAGTGACTCTACCTCAATGTCACTAGACTAAAACAATACTGTTAAGAATTTTTTTAGCAAAATCCTACCAAATAACATGATTATGCTAAGAACAAAAACCACAACAAAGATGTGGAAATACATCATTATTTTTGTGATGCCTTTTACTTCACATGAAGGTGTGGAAAAACAAGGCAGTTTTTCTGGCAGCAGTTTGGAAGTGGCAACAGTTTGAAAAGCAGTGCTTTAATTGTTATATGACAGTAAGATCTGTTAAAATGGCAAAATCATCCAAACGCAGACCTGATTTTATTTTCATTAAACCTGGTGTCACGAGATAAGAATTTTTCTTTAAGAAGAGTWATAGAAAGGAATAGGACAAAAAAAATGTTACCTACAAAGGAGGAAGACATCTTTATGAGAAATGAGATAAAAAGTTAGTAGTATTTATCCTAGTAAGTGACTTACTAACTAGTAAATTCTCTTTTTGTATTGGTTAGAAGAATGGCGTTTTCAATCCATTAGTTTCAGTTACTATATAATTTCTCATCTGGCAACAGTCGGATTAAAATCAGGCTGGAGCTCAGTGTCAACTCATTATAATTTTTCATACAGCACTTTCCATTTTAAAATGTAAACTAGTTCCAAAGGAGAACAAAGAAACTTTAGTGATTAGTCAGTTGAAACAGAAATGACAGGCTACATATTCTACATTCTGATGCACTTTTTACCTTTGCATAGGAAGCATGTGACATATTAAAATTGGTGTCACAATTATTTGAATTGAAACACAACCAGAAAGCAGTGCATTAAAAAGTCAAGTATTGATGGATCTTCTCATTAGTAAAGAACACAAAGGAAACACTGAGATTGAGGGTGAGTAGGGTATTGAAACATTTATGAAGGAAGGATATCCACTGGGTTCATACCTCTTGCAATATGTTTTGTGAATCTCAAATACTTGTCAGAAGCATATTAAATTTGCACATTTGAAAGAGTAAATTACTGATTTAGCATAAATTAATGTTAGATTTAATGTTTTACAGGAATATGCTGTTTAAATTGATTCAACCTCAGAAAAGAGTTCCTGGTAGTTACTGGCAGTCCTTTGATTTTAGGAGAACATCTACATTCCAGAAAAGAGTGCAACTTGGAAGCTGCAGCTGGGTTAGAAGTTAAATAACTGCTATTTTTTCCTTCAATTCATAAACCTTTAACTGTCAAAAATGATAATAATAAATTACAAAATCATCAATTTTATTCACTTACACATAGATTTTCCTATGGAAATAATAATTACTTATTATCATGACTTCCAGCAGACCACATGGTTGTTCTGTACATTYCTTAATAGAAAACAGATACCCAAACCAGCTGTGTTTAATTTTCCCTAAGTTATCTAGTTATTTTTTGAAGTCCAGATAGAGCCTTAATATATTTGCCTTCAGCTAAGAAAATCCACAAAAGGCATCGCTGGAGTGTTGTTTCCCATTTCAGAGCTGGTCATGKTTTTTTTTGTTTACGGTAATGTTTAGCTTTCACTTTTCTTGATAATATTCTAACCTCTCAATGTTCAGCATTTTCACAGAAGTGTCTTTCATCAATAAAAAAAGAACCAGGAACAGAGATGAAAGTACATCCTTGCTCAGCCCCTTAAAATACACTGCACATGTTGGATCTGAAAACCTTTGAATCCCACTGCGAAAGGAAGTAAAATTGACTCTAGGCTTTTTGCTCTGTTTTTCAGGATGACAGGCAAGCTTAGTTTGCATGGTGAATCCTCACACAGGAACCACCAGGGCCTGTACATATCTCCCCATGCTCATGAGTCATAAGAAATTAAGAACAGAAATAAATATTAACTAAAAAGTAACAAAACCATCTATCATTATCTCATGGAAAAAAAAATGAATTGTTAAGATGAGCTTTAAAACATGCATCTGCTTTTTCCAACTAAGCCAAGATATTAAGAAATCTCTAAACCTGTCATTGATGTATTCTCCATTGCTGTGAATCTGATTTTCCAGTGTGAAGTTGAAGACGAAATGTGAGACCTCCTCATTGCGGAAATGTTTCACTCGGGATGCATACTCATCTGACTGTAGATGTTTAATGACATCAGGAAACCAGACAGATAAGCCGTAGTAGCTRTGAAAAACAGAAAAAACTTCAGGCACCAATCTCGCTCATTCAGAAATTTGTGCAATGTGCGAAGGAGCAGCTTCTTTGGCCATTTATGTGATCGAGCAGTTGCTCCATCAGAATAAAATCCTCCATAAAATAAAATTATTGAAAGCTGCTGACACCAGAAGATGTCAGTTTTTCAAAGAAGGTATTCCTGATGAGTCAGGTTTGCAACCAAGAACAGACTAACTAACAAATATAACATTTTATGGAAAGATCCTGAATAAAACAGATGACCACAGTGTCAGAAATTTATGTGCAAATGATTTTTCTGTCTATCAGAATTATCAAAAATGGTGTAATCTCAACCACTCTTACCCAAAAGATAGGGTGAACCATACAGCTGTAAGTTTGATTGTATTATCCTTCACTGGGTAGTTGAAGCATCTCATAAACGTCAACCAAATCTGTAAAACATTAGGAAACACAGTTRTTTACATCTTATTTTGAACAATTTTCTTAAATGAGAGAAGATTTTTGATTCTTATTTGCTTGCTTCTTAAGCGCATGAGAGAGAGCAGATCAGCTCTTCTTTCAAAAGAACTCACAGTTCTTTTGATGCAGCCCAGACAATGATTTGCTTTCTCAGCTGCAAGAACATATTGTAGGCTCATAYAAATTGTTTTTTGAGTGGACTGTGTACATTAATTTACCCTCTTTCTGATCACCTCAAACTTTCCTACTCTCTAGACAGCTTCATTTTACTTTGTCAGATAAACCAGGGATTATCTCAGAAATGTTTTCTTCTCACTTCCCAGAATGAGACAAATTATATTCCATAATTAAACAGGGATATAATCAGAGTTTGTTTTATCATAACCTGCCAAGGCTAGAAATTGATGCCTGAACTATATGAGGAACATGTAGTAACCCAAGGTCAGAGACAGTAGAGCAGAGCTGAGATGAGTGTTTACATCTCTCTCCCTCTCTCCTCTCAAGATGATCCCCTCCCTTTAAAGAGAAGAAGCTGTCTGTTCTAGGAGGTCCCACCACCCATCATGCAACAAGGAAAAGTGCACTGACCCAGGGTCTAGTTTAGTGAGATAACAACGAYGTAAGCCAACCAAGCTGCAATTCCTTTAAAAGCTGGTTTAATAAGAGGCTGAATAATAATATTTTAATCTTCAACAATTCCATTTTTGGTCACTAACTGTAATAGTAGACAGTTTCTGGAACTTCTTGTTTTTCCCATGGCAAAATGTGACTTTTCCTAACAAAGTAATTTTATGACAAACCTTTGTTTGCAATACTTCATCACAGTTATAGAGAGTTAAAAATGACAGATTTTTAATAGCTGTGCAAGCATAGTTTTAAATTTTTTAAGAAATAATGTATGAGGCTTTTTCAGTTTTCATTGCAAGGTTCAAAGTTACTATGCAATTTCAGTTTTATAAAAAAATAACAAAAGGATAAGGAGCAGAGTCCCAGGAATCTTGCATTAAAATCTGAAATAGCTCAAAAATACTTTTCTGGTAAAGCATTTGACATACCTAAAAAAAACACCTGCACATGGAATGCCTTATAAAGGCATTCATTTACACAATTTATTAATGAATTTATCATTTGTAATTAATACTGCTTCAAGTTCCTCCTGATAWTTTTTTGTTTTCTCATGTGTCGCCTTTTCCCATACATATAAATTAATCCACATTCTCAGTACGTATTTATTTTGTGCGGTTTATGAATATCACTATGTAATTATTAGCTATCACTTCTGTGAGGACCAATGCAGCATTTTTCTCCTCTGGAGCTGGGATAAAGCTCTGTGATTCACCTGATTTTTTTCTGCATCAGAAGATCAAAACCTTACACTGGCTCCTGATTCCTTCAGTTGCATGGAAAATGTAGCATTGCAGCTATCAGCAGCAGGAGCACAGCAAATCCATCTCATTTCCAAAAGATAGTTAAAAAGAAGGAAGGTAATTACAGAATGAACAGAGACATTGCTACTTACACCATACAGCTCTGTACGGATTCTTACAAAACACCTCCTATACCAAGTTCCAGTATCACTCTCTATTTCTATGAGCTCATCTATCTGCTTTGGTGTTTTGATTCTGGTAACCTAGAAATAAAAACAACAAAAATATTTGTATTTTTCAGAATCATAAACTACACATGGAAGAGTATTGGTTGGGTTTCTTATATCCCATCTACTAAAAATGAGCAGACACTCAACCTCTGTCTCCACTAGAAATACTTCAGATTTATAAAGGAATAGTAGCATATTGTAATGCTAAAGTTTTATGGATGCAACTGTTTCAGAAAAGCTGTGTTCAAGGCATGCAGGAAATATACTTCCTCTGGCTCCAATAAGCTGTTGCTATCATATTCTTCTGGGGTACTGTATTCACATCCAATGCTACAAAGGGTAAAAACATTAGTTTAAACTACCAGTTAATCATGTACAAAATTTGCCTTCAAATTGTTTCTGATTTGCTACCACAATATTGTTGAAAGTCTTTTGATTAAATACACAACAATGAAAAGAGTAGTATTCAAAATGTCATGAATTAATAGTTGGAAATCTTTTTATTATTTTAGTTTTATTTATTATTTTTATTATTTTATTATTACTCTAGTGTTAAAGAACTTAATGAAAAGAGAAGAAGTGAGGTGAAGTGATCTGGAACTACACATGTTATTGCTACTATGAACAATCATCTACTATCTAAAGTGAAATGAGGTAAACAGACATCAGGGAAAGATATGCAGGAGACAAGCAGAGAACAGAAAGGAAATTGATAAAATGTGGAAAGGGACTGACATGGAAGGAAGGAGAGAGCAAGCAACTGAGTGTTTGGTGTTTGGCTGCAGTTTCTGAAGTTAGCCATAGCTTGTGTTTCTTAACAGAATGAGGACATCCCCCTCCGATGTATCATGGTGGATTACAGAACATCAGGCAATAGCAATATTGATAATAAAGCTCTGGTTTTGAGACCACTGCTTTTACAGATGTATACTATTTGAGATGCAACAGCAGCCTCCTCCCAYGAATGAGAACACAGAAAAGCCCACCAAGCAGTTCGACTTATAGCTGCCCTCATTTCTAAAGTTATACAGCTCACTCTTTTGTCAGATCATGAGTTATCAAAGTATGACACTTCTGATAACCCTGTCTGGGTTCTGATAAYCCTATAATCACTTCACTGATTTCAAGATTTTTCTTAAACTGCTTTTATGAAATGTGTCATACAAAAGATTGAGTTGAATCCTTGAAAATTATCTGAGATCTCCTACATACAGAGATCCTTTCATACCATACCTCTGGGACGAAAGGGGATGCCTTTTGCCCCCTCTTGTGGGCTCAGGGGCAGCCTTCACATCATACTGGACACCTGACTCATTTGGCGCTGTGGAGATTGGCGGAAACACATGTATCCTAGGACCACTGYATGTGACTGGGGACAAAAGTACCCCAGCCTTGGTGTTTCTTTAACATATGAAAAGTCCTACTGAGTCMGGATAATAGTCCATCTGGCCCACGCAAATTCTTCAGTATATGAGGAATGGAAAAAAAACAAACCCAGGAAAGAATACCTATTCTAATGAAAATGATGATTCTGTTTAAAAGCAATGTCTAGAAATATGCAATGTCTTAAACTTAAAAAAACCCCAACACTTACTGCAAAGAAAAATATTTGCAGGAAAAAGAATACATAGCAATTGAAGAGTAGAGAAGATTTTGGTTTTATGGATGCAAAGCTTTTTTTTTTTTTTTTTTTTTTTTTCCCTTGAATATTTAAATCAAGAGATCTAATGAATATGCATTTTAAATACTCAGAAAGATAATTGGGCATGTACATAACCATTCAACTCTGGTAGTTCCATGACTAAAGATACTATCAATTTATTACCATCTCTGTTAGTGTCACTGCATTCAGAAGAAAGTCTCCAAAGTATGAAGAGCCAGCCACTCTACTAATACAGAAACCAGAACAYTCCATGCTGGATTAACTCCAAACCCAAGGGCTTGTCAGCAGATGGCATCTCTTTCTAAAGACTTGCAGATAATCCCCTCAATAATATGAGTAACAAGAATAAACTTGCAGATAATCCCCTCAATAATATGAGTAACAAGAATAA